TTGTTGGTTGGCTGTTCAGACACTGTTTTCCAGTACAGAACCTTCAAATGTGTCTTCCATCATTTGGAAATTGTGTTGTTGTGGCATGAATATAAAGTTGCATGGTTTTAAAACATCAAAAGTTTTTGTATTGTGTTTTACTGTTTACAGATTTATTGTTTACATGACCCAGACAAAATGATTAATGTAGTTGTTTTGTCTTCAGTGGGCTGTTTTCACCCTTTTGCTGTTATAATCTGCCTACACAAAATTGCCATCTGACATTTGATAGTGTTGTCTTTGCTTAAAGGCACCATATTTTCATATTTGAACCCAGGATTAAAATTTTCCGCTTTATTGTTTCATTAAGTAGCCTCATAATATGCTTTTTGACCTTCTAGAATTGCATGATGAGTGGGAAGACAAGGAGAATGTCGTAGAGTTTGATTTCCTTGGTAAAGACTCTGTTCGATACTGGAACTTTGTGCCAGTGGAAAAGAAGGTAGCTATTGAACAACTGTCACCTAGCAACTGGACTCTTAGTTAAGGGGACACCCTTGGAACCAGACAGAGTGTCCCCCTTGACAGAGTTGTCCCTTTAGTAAAGGTATCAGGTACAATGAACATAGGTACTTATCAGTTGATGGCCCATGTTTGTGATCTTTGAGAGGAAGAGTCTACTTTACTGCTGCATTCAGTAATATGCATGGTTTTCATGGTCTCTTTTTCACCTCTGTAATATTTCTAAAGTAAAACACAGAGGAAACTTAAAGGTAAAGAACTAAGGAGGCAAGAACAGACCAAAAAGGACCAATTTTGTTTACTTAACCATTTAACTCCAAGATCTGATCGTTAATTCTCCCCTCTAGCTGCTGCACAATTTCCATGTAAATTAGTAAGGAGAATTTGTCATCACATCACGATAACCATTTTAACCAGATAAATCTGAGTATCTCCTTACCTGTTTGCTGCTTGATCTATGGATATCATAGATCATGGTGACAAGTTGCCAGTACATGTTAATTATCATTTCTGGAGCAGGTCAAAGGGCTAAGGATGAAAAAGGTGTAATGGCAAATAACAAAGTTGAAAATATTTGCAATATTTTTTTTCAAGATTCACTCTGCAAACTGCCTCTTTGTCCATTTTGTAACAACCTTTATTTCTATTCCTTTTCCCATTACAGGTTTTCAAGAATCTTGCCATTTTTATGAAAGGAAAACAGAATGGTGATGATCTATTTGACAGATTATCTGTGAGTGTATTTTCCCTTCTTTTTTAAAGTGATGTGGTAATATTTCTGCACCAGGTTTTGCAAATGGGAGCAATTTTATTGATTATATGGCAAGCTGGTCCTGAGGTAGATTAAATCAAATTGATTGGTTGTTACTTGCTAGTCAGGATTTTGCCCCATGGACTGCTTTGACAAAGACTGTCATGATGATTATATGCTGTGAATTTTCTTTTGCAAAAGCTGGCAAATTCTAGACAAACAAATTTGGCCTGAGTGGCATATAATAAACTACTCACTAATCTCGCAGTGCTCAGTCTGTACTGCCACGTTACTTGGGCCAATATTCCCCAGTGCAACCCTTGCACTTGGTTAGTAACGAGTTAGTAATAGTAATTACCTAAAAACAATTTGCTGTAAAGCGTCCAGAAAAAAAATAAATGTTGAAATTTTTCATTTTCTAGACAACTTCTTTGAACAAGTACTTGTCAGAGCTGATGGATGGACTTACAGCAAAGGTATTCAGAACATTCAATGCCTCCATGACACTCCAAGATCAACTAAACAAGTTAACAGAAGCTGAGGACAATGTCAATGCAAAAGTGTTGACATACAACAGAGCAAACCGTGCTGTGGCCATCCTATGTAACCATCAGGTAATGTCCACTCTGATAACATTTTGCTGTGCATTTGCTTGGTGTTATGTTATAAGCCGAACTATACACACATTTTGATTGGTTCTTACTTGTGATCTGTTGAAGGATAGACACAGATGACATCACCATTGATAACACAGATGCATTTTTATTAAATAAAGCAAGCATATTCCATGTGGCCGGGCATTATGAAGTGTTTTATTGTATTTTATTGCATGTGCACTCAGTTAGACTAAACCAGTATTACAGGTGTAGATGTAATCATATGAAAAGGATTAAGTTCATACATGTAGCTCACTATTTTTTTTTTATTTTTTTTTATCTATTTTAGCGCACAGTCCCCAAGACCTTTGAAAAATCAATGTCCAATCTACAAGAGAAGGTGTGAACTTGTGACTTTCTTCCCAAGAGTTATTTATCTGGGTATTCATGCATTTACATATTCCATTTACTGATTTTGTTGATTTTGCTGTTCTGTTTTAGATTGCTACAAAGAAAAAAGCAATCAAGGATGCAAAAAAAGAACTCAAGGTTTTGAAAAATCAAGCAAAAGAAAGCAAAGATGCAAAAGTGATGAAGTATGTTACCTAGGGAAATTAATTTTTCTACTAATGGTTGTACAATATTTCATCTTTACTGAGGAAGTTTACATCACAAGAGCTCCTTGGAGTAATCTTCCAAAATTATTCCTCAACTCTTTAATCTAGAGTTGGTCAAAAATTATATTTTTCTTCCATGCAAAGGAAGTTTGGATCAAGTCATATGTCTTGCTTGTAAAAATTTTACAAGTAGGAATGACCTAAGCTAATGATCCTTCTTGGAGAGACTATAGACTACTTATGATTATCTTTGATGAATTTTTTTCTTTTGTTTGTAGGCAACTTGAGAAGAAAAAAACTCAGGTTCAAAGATTTGAGGATCAGCTGTTTAAATTAGAGGTGACTGCAACAGACAAAGAAGAAAATAAAGAGATTGCACTTGGTACCTCAAAACTAAATTATTTGGACCCACGAATTTCAGTGGCATGGTAGGTGAAAGCTCTATATCCAATACCAAAGATAATAAGGGGCTTGTAGAGGTGGCCTTGCCTAAACAGTTGATTTGCACTGAAGTTTGCTGTATTTCCTGGTGTGAAATACACAATGGCAGACAGAAGTGTGACTACTGAGTTTTTGTACACCTTGTTGTTAATATTTTTTTGCTTTTTTTGCATTTTAAGGTGCAAGAAACATGAGGTGCCAGTAGAGAAAGTTTACAACAAGACCCAACGTGAGAAGTTTGCGTGGGCCCTCGACATGGCAGAAAAAGACTTTGTTTTTTGATCCAGGCTTGTCAGTGAACACAGCTGGCATAGTAATCATTCAATTTTAGCTCACACATGCTTACATTTGTCACGGTACTCATTACAATTTAATTTGATTATATTATTATTGTTACTATACATACAATATTCTGGAAATGATTTTTGAGATTTTAGCGGTGGATGAGAGAAATACAAGAAAAATGCATTGAATGGGAACAGAAACTTAAAGTCTGGGACAATATCTAAGTTCCATTTGTATATTAGTATTAGTTAATTAATTAACAATTATTTATTTTTAAAGGAAATTCTATTTTACAGTAGGAAACACTAGAATGTGTTTTTGAATGTCCCGCAGTGATGAAGTTTTGCATTCATTAAAACTGCTATTTCAGGGCTGTTGTTTTTCCTAAAAATGTGTGTAATTTTCGAAATAACAACAGAAATACAACTGCATCTTTTTCTCAAAGCTTAAATCCAATGAAAGTTATCTCTGCTTTGAAAGTTAGGTTCTATAACCTTGTTACCAGAGCCTTACTCTTGGAAAGGGAGAGAAGTTTGGGAACAAGCCAGGGTAGTACTTTTGCCCTTATGATTGGTTGCATGAAGAGCTTAGAGAACTTGCCAATCAGTGGACATGTTCCATGTTTCTTTGTGGGTGCAGAATGTGTAGGGAAGTTTTGATTTGACTCTCAAGCCTTTGTGGAAAATATGACTGCAATTTGGGTCATCTGATCAGTTCCTGGTTTGTGATACCATCATTTTAAAACCTTAGAATGCCTCTTTTTCATACCAATTACTTTTTCTCTCTTGTAAGTAGTTTTCACTTTGGCATTTTCAACTTGGGTAGATAGAGAATGCCAATCTTTAGGAACATTCAAGACTGTAACATTCATAATTACAAATTATGGGATCAAAACAAATTTTTTGTCTTGAGATCTCAATGAAAATGTCACAATTAACTTCTCAATTTGTCACGCTTTTACCTGTATTAAGAAGCTTTTTGGAACTTTATTGGTCATGTATTCCACATACAATTTTTTTGAGATTTAAATAATACTTAGAGACAAGTAATCTGATGAAAATATTAAGTTATTGAATAGTGGAAGTTGCACAGATCTCTTAGAGAAATGAAGTTAATGTACCTAGTCTACTTGTTTCTGGCACTTCATCTGCAACATATTCCAAGTGCATTTTTTGGTTCAGTGCTGGTGTTAAACATCTTGACATATTTTGCACCTTGGATTTGTAGCACAAAGTGTTGAAAAATAGTTTAATCGCTTTTAATTCATTGTAATTATCTTGACAACCTTCACAACATGCAATTATGATATAGGTAGGATAATTTCTAGCCCATACAACTTAAGACTTCTCCCATATCCTGTTAATCCTGAAATACTATTTTAGCACATTTGATGTTCAGATTATAATTGCCCTGTTATATTCTCTTGGCAAGACAAGGACCAGAGAAAATGTTGTACTTAGATTTTGCCTTAGTGTGAAATGATTTTTAGGTAGACAGCCAAAAGCTTCCATTAGATTCAAGTTTAAGCCTTTTAGAATTTTAGATCTTAACCATTGAGAAAATCCTGCCCACTGAAGCAGTGCCTGGCACTGTGGGATACATGAAGGCTTCAAAATAAAGATTTTAGCCTGTTCTTTCATGTATTATGTGTGCTATGAAATAGTAATTATTGGATGTGTTTTTCAGATATTTGGCTTCTGTATTACATACCAGCCAACAGCTCTACAAAAACCTTTACTGTGTGGGATGTAGAGTTTTAAGTGCTTCATATGACTAAACAATATAAACAAGTTGTTAAGAAGCAGACAATTTTCAATTTCCACAATTATTCATTTATTTTGCACACACTCCACCAAAAGCTAATATATTTCCAGTGGTACACACTACTTTTCATTGGCCTCATGCAACAGACCATGAATGTTCACATATTAACTGGTTGGATAGCAGAACAATTGAAGAAACTGCAAAGCGAAAAGAGAAGGCAACAGGTCAGTTTCTTTTTGAAAATGGAAAATAATACATAATAGGAGAAAACACCAATTGTAACTGTGGGAGTTAGATATATTTTGTTTCCTTTTCCAAGAGAAACACAAATTTACAGAGAATTTCAACCAACTCAACTGATGTGAAGAAGAACTTTAATAAACATGGGTAACACTTGACAATACAAAATAACTCATGAGCAATTATGGCCCTATTGACTAAGTTCTCTGAACACAATTAACAAATCATACAATGTAAAATGACTACTGATGATCTTGAGGCAGTGAGAGTAAAAGATTGTTAACAAGTTGCATCCCAACCTTTTTTTTTTCATAGCATCTACCTAAGAAATAATTTGTACAGACCACAAGTTAAATGCATTTCTTTCTCTCAGCAGTATTGGAATTTTAAGTTAACACGTGGGGAAAACCCATCAACATTCATTCACCATAGTACAAGACAGTTTGTGAACATCAGACAAAATATAAGAAGCTTCAAGCACATAATCTAAGAAGTAGCAGTATGTGTTTGAAAATAGTGACAAAACTGAGAAAAAGGCGTCACTGCTAATTGACAACTTTCTACTGTAGATAGCTTTGTGGAACACAGAAACAAATAAATTTAAACTTCTCCTTTATAAAATATGCAACGATCGGCAGAACTGTACATCGGATAGAATCAAGAGAAATAGGTTTCCAACTTCGATAACGCAAGTTCTAAATGTGAGATACATATATCATGTATGCTTAATATAGGTACAAGAAGTTCATTTAGATCACAAGGAACCTGGAAGAATTTTATGGATAAACGCGACTTGATACTTCATTGACCGTTGTCATCATGCTTTATATAACCATTGACAGTACCATAAAGTTAGTAGCGAGAAAAAAAGTCGGAAAGCTTACCTGTTTGGACAGCAAGGCCTACAACTTCCGATTCTACATTGTCTTTCTCTAGGTCTGGATTTCGACGTTTTGATCTATATTCTTTCACTAGCAGCCTTAACCAATTATTTTAATATCCATGATATGCCCTTCCTATAATAACAGGTCTCCATGCCAAGAAACCGAATGAAAATATCCGAAATGTGAAACTTAGACGAAGAAACAAGCGCGCCATCTTACTAGATTACATGATTACATGATTACATGACGGTGCTTCCATGGAGGAGAAGCCGCTGATAGTAATTGAAGCTGCAAATCGTCGACAATAACGACATCATACATCATCGTCGTTAATGAAATGAGGAAAGAACTATATAGAAATATATCGTGAAGGTGAATATCAGCTTAAAATGACTTATGTGCTTCAGTTGAGCTAAATTTCTTTGTGCGGACTGTAAATTTTAAAAACATAGCCACTAGGTCAACAACCAGCGTTAAAACTGGTGAACACGTGTTGGAAACGAGATTGCAGTGAGATGATATCATGTGGGTCTGGTAAGATGAATTCTTAGGCTGGACTTATCTCTTTCAGGCGTTCAAATGTGGATCTGTGGTAAATTGGCCGAACTACTTATTTGAAGTAGAACGTGTCTGTCTCTACCCATAAGTATGAAATAAATGTGTATTAGCAGAACTCAGAGAAAAAACTGAGAAAAATCTTTATATGAATTTCCTGAACAAAAATTCCAAGAAATGCGTGACACTCACTGACAGTGAAGAAGGTATTCTCAGATTGTTGATAACAAAAGCCAATCGGTAACCTTTGGTGAGCTGCATATTTGCTTCAGTGAAAAGTAAAGTTTTTATGGATCATTCTCCTTTCTCTTGCCAACTCCCCTTCTATTATGTAGGAGTTCACAGAATGAGATAATTAGTGTAGATGTACTTACCAACTGGATAATATTGATCCAGTGGATAGCATCATCCAATCTTTTTAATAACAGGGGTCAAGTCAATCTCTCAGTTCACTTAATTTATATTTTTTATCAATTAATTGAGCTCGAACTGTTTAAAAATGATTTTCTTTGGAATCGAGTTATAGACTGAGAGTTTTCAATAAAATTTGGTAAGGGTGTATTTTATATCAAAATGTTCTTTTTTTAAGTATAAATGTTAATTATGTCAGTCATTTGAACATTAACCAGCCTGAGATAGAATAGTTAACCCTTTACCTCCCATGAGTGACCAAGAGAGAATTACTCCTTACAATGTCAATACAATATCAAGTATAGAAGTAATGAGGATAAGGTAAAGTATCAAATAGGTGATTGTTGGTTGATTCAATACCAAATTCTCCTAATTAACATTACAAGAATTGTATGTCAGACAGTAAGGAGAATTACTCATGAGATCCTAGGAGTTAAAGGGTCAACAAAGGTCATCTATGGTCATTTTGAAACAAGAAAGCTAACAATAGTGTTGTAAACAAGAAAAGAGTGGATGAAATGGAAAGATAAGACAAGAAAGCTATAGAAAGTATGGAAGAGGACATGACCAAGAAAGAAAAAGCTCAAATCTCAATGAATTGTTGGAAATATCTTCTAAAGAAGTCAAAACACTTCTGCTGGGGACACTCATTGGATAAACCTTTGAACACAATCTTAAAGGAGCAAAGAATTCTTGGTGACAGTGAAGAAAGAATAGTTTGACCAGAACATGTATGTTGAGCTTCATGTATGTAATGCAGACACTCATACTTCATGAAATGAATGGAAATGGAAAATAGTTATGTGCAAAGAAAGTCAAAGTATAATTGTAAATTGTGAATTTGGTCATTGAATAATGAGGTCTTAACCCTTCACACCCTAACATGAAGATGTATATTCTCCATACTGTTCTCTATTTATTTCCTAAAGTACTGACAAGGAGATTTTGTTAAGCAATCAAGAGTTTCTTTAGGTGGAAATCATTACTTTTATTCTCATGACCTTATTGTGTGATTCAGGGGTGATTTTGTGAGGAGAAATTAGATACTAGTCAATGTGAGGGTCAAAGAGTTAAAAATTTGTTATGAACATTGGTTATAGAAAGTATCAAGTGTTTGGGGCGGGTTACCCTACATACATATCACTAGTAGGAGCTGACACACATCAACAGAGCCACCAGTCCCTAAGTTTTGGGCTTCACAAGTGATGAATTTGACAACCAGCATGGCTCTTTGCTTACTAAAGCAGTCATATTCTGCTCTGTTTACCACTAGCCATGCAGGAATCAACTCTCCAAACTGTTTTAATGAAAATTCTCATCATCTGTCTAATTAGCTGTGTATTAAGATAATAACATGAAGTTGCATACTGATCACAGGAGGAAGTTAAGGTGGGGGGAGGTTTCTCCCGATGTGAACAGGTCTGGCTCAAGACTTACTTTTTTGCAAACTATTTACCACCAACAGCTTAAAATCACTCACTATAGGGAATTTGGTACCAGCAAAACCATTGAAGCTGGGTTTGGCGGATTAATATTTCTCTTTATGAAAACCCATTTAGGATGGAAATCACTAGGAAACACTTTGAGGTTCTGAAAGTGAAGAACATACATTACTTCTAAATGGCCTTGGAAATAAATAATGAGCAATAATGAGGTTAATTATTGACTCAAAAGTACATGTAATTATTACATGTACTTTTGAGTCAATAATTAACCTCCAGTTGATCTCCATATCTTATTGACAGTTTACACAGATATTATATTTGGATTTAACTAAAGTTGTTTTTATTATGCTAGTGAAGAGTTATTTCCTTTGTTTTCATTGTGTACTGTTTTTGTGCCAGGTTACACAAAGCTTGGATTTTTTATAAATATATAAACAGTTTTGAAGTATCTGTTACCTTCTTAATAAATTAAGAAAAATAGTAAGACACCTGTTCATTTTGCTTTTAAGTTGGCAGGATTTCTTTTTGTTTTATGATCATGAACACACCAAAATCTATGATGATGATTTTAATTAAAATAGTTCGAAGGGTTTGAAATTATCGGTTTAAAATGGCATGCCAGTTAGTGCATAAACAAATTTTGATCATACAATATACTTGTATACTGATCCTTTATCATTTCAATTGATAATATCATTTGTTGTCTATCAGATTGTGTCATACATCACACTTTTTGTGATTTAAATTTAGCTTAGTTGTAAAAATTTTATCTGTTTTCACCCCAGTGTCACTTTCATACTGTTAGTAAGAAGTAATTCAGATTGATTTCAGGGAATTCTTTTATCTCTGATGTAATTATCAATTCTCCTCATTGTCTCCCATACATTACTAATAATTTTAACATGAAGAATTTGGTATTTAATCAGACAAGTCCTGGGCAGTATACTCTAATTGATAAATTTTCTTTTCATCACCTCCATGCTTGTTACTATATTGTATTGTTAGGAGAAATTACTCATTGATCACTTCTGGGAGTGTAATCAATTTTGAGAATTTGGTATCGGATCAGCTAATAATCACCTATTTGATATTTTACTTTATTCTCATTACTTCTATGCTTGATATTGTATTGATATTGTAAGGAGAAAATTCTCTCTCGATCACTCATGGGAGTTAACATATTGTTGAGGGAAGATGATGTGCTGAAGCATAATCTGTAATATCCACATTCATCTTCATTCTTTGACATGCAGTCCTGAAAAAAATTCATTTAAAAAAGAATGCAATCAAAAGTGTTGAAAAAAATGAGAAGCAGTCTCAAGTGGTGTTTTTCAAAGCTGTAACAACTACAGATATGAAACCTGGATTTGGTGTTTTCCACTTCTGCAAAAATTCCATGGAAGATTTCACTGATTGTGATACAACTTAAAACTGTGACTTATGATCAAATGACTAATTTTGTCAGAGATTTTTGGTGCAGGTAATTCCTTGGGATTATCTTTCATTTCAATACTGTTTGCATTTTTGCTGTTTTCTTTCATATAAAAATATAGCTCTATATCTTAGGTTGTTTACTTCTGGTTAGTAAGTCTGAGATTTAAATTTATTCATTTCCAAACTTATATGTAAACTCTTGGCAAAGTTACTGCTGTCAGTAATTTGTTTTTTGTGTGCCGTCATTTTTTAGACTACAGGAGAAACTGACATTAGAAACTGAATCAATGAAATGAAATGGATAGGATGGATATCACAGCTTTTTTTTAGGAAATAGATACCTGTTGTTTGTGTCAAAATTTAGATTAAAAGTGTTGAAAAAATTGGGAACAAGTCTCAAGTGCTAGGTTTTTTCTAAGCTGGAACAAGTACTTAATTGCAGCTGGAATTCTACGTGCGGTTTCCTTGCCTTCTCTCTACATTTCCTTTACACGTGGAATTCATCTCTGTTCTCTGATTTGCTTTCTTTTGTCTTATTAGTATTTTATTTGGCTCCCAAGTTCCACTGATTTTGTGAACATAGCAAAGCTGAACAGGTCTCCTCCTATTTGGCTGAAAGTTTGAATAAGTGGCCAGGCTGGAACTTATTTAAGCAAATGTGTGACATTCATTTTATGTCATTCACATTTCAAACTTTCTTAGGTATTTTAACAGTGGTTTGAGAGGTGAAGAAGAATTTTGTCTCAGTATTAGGAGGGAAATCATTTTATCTGAGACATGGTAAGGGTTTCAAAAGGGGTGTTGCATGCCTTCCATATTTTTTAGAATGCTGTCAAGATTATGCAGCAGTGAAGTAGGTTCTACAAGGAACCTGAGGCGTGTTTCTCCAGTAAATTAATGTATTCGTCTATGTTTGATTTTCAAAAGGCTACACCTTTCTTCCCCCCCCCCCCATTGCTATCAAGTGGTGTCTAATCATAGAGGATAAATAGATCACAACACAAAGTTTAAATCCATTTACAATATTTATTCCACACTAATAAATTTGGGAGTTCTGGCTCTATTTACAATTAATTGTAAGTAAAAATCTTGACTGTTTAAGTCTGATGCTTCATCCTCTGATTTTGCAGAGCAACTTATTGACATATTATTACATCATTCAAGAAACAGGCCCTAAATATATACAAAAATATACTAATATTTACATCAACTGCAGAAACCCCCCCAAAAGTTTTCAAATTAGTATGACATAAATCTTAAATCATTACCCTATCAAAAGCACTTTCCTTCGGAGCGCCACGAGTTTATATACAGTTTCGTTAGGATTTCAATGGCAGTAAATTTGAAACTACTCGAACTGGATCGCTTCAATCAGAAGAAAAAACGAGCATAAAAACAAATGTGTTGTATCCTACAATCTGTACTACGTTTTCTCATCTGATACGATTATAATTTCTAAAAGAAATTCAATAAATACTACAGAAAACTATTCCTTGTGACAGACACAAGCGGTAAAAACATAGAGAAGCATGGGGAGAATTTAGGATCGAAACTAATCAATCATAAAATGACAAAGTTTCCTGAGAGGTCTGAGGTTCGTTTGTTTTCTCTGCAAGAAGCTTTGTGTTTTTACTTCATTGTTATCTGTTTATTAAAAAAAAAAAAAAAAAACTTTGACATTGTTTGTTCTCAATAAACATCTGCATTCGTTCATTTTTCTTCATTTCGATCCGGTTCAAATAGTCTCGCTACCTTTAATATTTCCCAAATAAATTTTGCTTTCATTCCCGTTTCAGAATGTTGGATTGTAATTGTCACTAAGCTGGTTACCTCACAGTTTTTTTTTTAATAATGGTTCAAATAATTTCTTTTGAGTTTTTATTTAGAATTGCTGAGGCCCTAAAGAATAAGCTTGCGCTTAGACCGACTATTGCTTAGTAAATTATGTGTCTCTTGCTTACCTGCTTCTGTTATGTGTTGATTGTATGAGAGGTCTACCGTGCGTAGCTGACCGTTGTTGTTGTTGATGGCTTTAGCCAAGTGCTGTGCTCCAATGTCTGAGATGCCATTTGCTGAGAGGTCTAACATGCGTAGCTGACAGCTGTTGTCGTTGATGGCTTTAGCCAAGTCCTGTGCTCCAGTGTCTGAGATGTTATTTTCTGAGAGGTCTAATGTGCGTAGCTGACAGTTGTTGTTATTGATGGCTTCAGCTAAGTAGTTTGCTGCTTCATCCGTCAGTTGATTGTGTGTGAGGTTTAACCAGCTCAGTTGAGATTCCTTACACTTTAACAATTTACAAATCTCAAAGCTACCTAATGGACCGATGTTATTGTTTCTCAAATCTAGATGTGAAATTTGTTGAACATTAATTACATTTACTAACGAAGAGCAATCAACAGCTGTGAGGCGACAATGATTAAAATTTACAAAATTAAAGTTTAGTTGTTGAAGTTTTGTCTGAACTTTCGATTTCATCTCATCACTTTCGTTAAAACATTTAAACAATGTTACTGCTAAATCTCGTTCGTCTCCAGTCGGCCAGAGAGTCACTTTCCTTGGCTCTTCATTCTCTGTCCACTGTTCGTTGTCCTCTTCGCATTCTCTCTCGTCAGTTTGCACAGGAAGAAGGTCAGTGATAATTTCGCTTGGTAGGTGACTTTTATCCTCCATAAGTCCCGCCAGAAACTGAAAAACCAGCTGCCATTTTCCGTTCTTGATGTTCTCGGAAACAAAGTTTCTTAATTCTTCTCTACTCATGTTGTTTGCTAGGTGCCGCGCTGCGAAAAACTCTTGCATTGTAAGGTGAATGAAACAGAATTGTTCCTCATCTTCAGTTAACGCGGCATTTTTACGGTCGGGTAAGCGGTGAAAAAGAGCGCTGTCTTCCATTCCGCGTACTTCGTTTCCTCCAAGGATTAGTTTTCCTTCTTTGATTCCTTCAAATGCCACTTTTCCTAGTGTCTCGAATTTTTCCTCCACATTCAAGGGCAAATAATCTGAAAGAAAGTTTTTGCGGGTGAAATGTTTCTCGCGGAATCCT